TCTGCACCAAGACTATTTTCTTGGTATCCGTTTCAGGCAATTACGCATTACATTGTGGTAGGGGACTAGGGGTACAGTATATAGGAAACCAAATCTGCCTGCGATACAGTACTAGCTTGAAAATCGATGAAGATTTGCTAAATTACATTTTTGAGGAAAACTTAGTAGCACTTTGTAGAAAAAATAGTGTTCTACAAGAAAATTATAATTATTTTGTTTGGTCCGTTTGGTTTTTTCCCCTTTCATTTGTTTTTTCTTCTTTTTTTTCCTCTACTACATGTAAGTGTCAAAGCTTGGGGTGCGTCTTGGGTTTGAGGAAATGCAGCGAAAAGGTTTCACTCTAGCACTGCGGCCTAATCGCCTGCAAATATGGTAATAACTTACAGGTAATCTTATGTTACATGTACGAGTAATTACACGTATAATTAACGTCATCAAGAAATCTGAGTAACACCAATTTTACAACTGATTGTAAGTCTTTTTTTCTTTTTTTTCACTTTCTTTAAAGAAACTGTCTCATTAAATAAAGTGTCCCACAGATGCAGTGCATATTCCCTGGGGGAGGGGGGGGGGTGTTTCACAAAACTTGTCATCAGTGACAAAAGACTTTTTTTTTATAAGCTACTGAAATCCTTGCTTCTGATTGGTTATCAGCAGATTTGTCATTGATTTTTGTCATTTGTCATTGAAAAAAGGCTTTGTGAAGCGGGTCCCTGGACAGTGGATGCATGCATCCCAAACCAAAATTCATAACAACCAAGAAGATGGATATTCTGTGTAAGAGCCTCTAAAATTCTACAAATTCAAATGTGCAACCAATGTACACATAAAAGTAATTTATTTTAATCCCTAAACCAACTTAGTGAACTGAGTTTTCATACTATGGTGACTTTGAAGGCTCTCTTTGAAGAAGAAATACTGAAAAATTGATATTTTTTAGCATATTTGCTATTTTACAACATTTATGTTGCTGCACATGAAATTAGTGAGAAGACTGTGATCTAATTGTCCTAATTCTATGAATCAAAGGTCTAGGTCATCATCTACATATAAGTAGCGGCTAGGGCGGAGGCGAGTTGGCTCAGTCAGTAAAGCGTCTGCCTGTTGAACCAAAGACCTAGGGACACTGGTTTTCTGCATCAAAAATAGCCTTTTTCGTTTCAGAAAATCTGGAATTCCGTTTCAGATGAGCTGAAAAACGGAAATTCCATTTTGCCATAGACTATGAACACATGAAAAAACTAAAATTCTGTTTACATAAGATTTTCATTAAAACTTGAACTTGTAGGGTACAAATGTTCTGTTAAAGCCGCTACCTTTGACAAGCCACTGATAACTACTCAAAAACATATGGACGGGATTGGAAAAACTTGATGCAAAATACTAGTGAAAATAAAGACCCCTAGGGTCTAGACTAGACCTACGAAAAATTATCAAATGTTTAGATTTACCAACTTCAAATTCGAACTTAGACAAGCAGAATAAAGTTAGCGGAATGTGTCAGAGCATGATACAGTACTACCAACATTGACAAAAACATTTCAGTCTTGGCTGTCATGTCAGCGATCGATCAATTTTAGGCGCACATGCCAGCGTGTGTACAATATGTACAATATCGCTGCACTTAGCGCCCGCTGCTGGCATGTATATGCCTAGTATTACGTCTACGTAATACTGCCCCTAACGATCTCTATTGGTCCAGCGAAACAAAATGGCAGCACCCTGTCTCCTAAGAATCTTACGAATATTGCTAAATTTTCGGAATTATTAACCATGATTTTAGGCCTGATATTTTTTCACTGCATAACAAGTCACAAAAATAGTGTAAGTTTTACAATTTTCTTCTTGAAAAATGAAAAGTTTTGAGGTAAAAGGGGTTTTTCCGTGATTTTCCGTTCGAAATTGCATTTTCCGTTTCAAATGGTCATTTCCGTGAATTCCGTCCATTTTCCGTGATCGCAGAAAAATCAATGTCCCTAAAGATTCCAAGTTCGAATCAAACCCAGGCGGATGACTGAAGCCTGCCCCTCCCATTGTTTCATATACACAGGCTATGTTAAGTGGAAAACACTCCGTCCCTCGGATAGGACGTTAAATGGAGGCTCCGTGTGGAGAAGAGTCACTACCTTTGCACGTCAAGAACCCATTGCACTATTTGTATAAGAGTAGGGGGCAACCCCGGTGTAGTGGTCCACCTGCACACCCCAGTATCAGGGAAAAAATTAATATTTATTTTTCGGGGACTACTTTTCAAGCTTGCCTGCATAAAAGTCACACTCTAAAATTTGTTTTGCATTGAACTCTATGCAAATTTACGGGGGCTCTTTTCTGATTTTCGGGGCTCTTTTGGACATTTAGGGGGCAAAATCGCCCTGAGCCCCCGTGTTTTTCACTGCCCAGTATAGTATTACAATACTCTGTAAAGAGGTATGTACTCTAATTGGAAGAAGAAGAGGGCACTACCCATTTTGAACAACAAATAATCTTGTTCACATGAGGATCATTTTCTCTCAGTTGTTAGCATGTTTTTTTTTTTTTTAGTTCACTACCACTTTTACAACTAACAATTATCAACTAGTAAAGGTGTCTTGGTCGAGTGGATGCATCACTAGACTGTGGATCACAAGGTCCATGGTTCAAGTCCCACCGCAGCACCAATTTTCTTTGCCAAGACATTAATCAAGATTTGCCACACTCGACCCAGGTGATGTAAATTGGTACCTGGCAGGAATTGATTTCTTGAATTGCTAGAGCGCCGTAATGGCAGCCATGCAAAAGCTGTGTAATAATTGCGGAGCGGCATGAGTGTCAAGTCTGACAGACACGAGCGCTATACAAGAACCCAGTGTTATTAAAATTGCGAGCAGTGAATCTCTGAAGGTGCGTTGGGTTTGTTGGCAACTCCCAGCCCCGTAACTCCCCACCAAGGAGTGTGTGAGCGAGGTATGATTTTGGTTACGTACCCGTGCGCTGTCTAAGGACATTTTTACAAGTACGATTTCTAGTACGAGTATCTGGTCAGTTTTCTTCTTATTTCTTTGGTTGCACAACGATTAAAAGATAACTTCTTCAAATTTGCTGCTGACGTGGTTCACACTAGATCTTGTCCGATGTGTTTTCAAGTCAATTTTGTTAATATATTTTTTGTATGAAGTTGCCTACAAATAATGGACATGCTGTTTTGACTTGCGATTTTTACTCTTTCGGCGTAAAGGCTGCACCCCAACTTTTTGATATTTTCTCTTCCAAAAATACTGCGGCCTTTACGCCGGCAAATACGGTAGTTTCAGCGAACGATCGATTTAAACAAAATCAACAGCAATTTTGCTCAGTAAAGTGCCAATATTAAGTGAATTCTGGTGAGTTTTGTACAGTGGTGTTTGAAAATGTTGAGAATCAATAGAGGTCATCTGAAAAGTTTTCCTACAAACATTATACCAATGCTTCCTTGAGTGGAAAAGAGTAGTGTTTGGGGGAGGGGGGGGGGGGATAGGCAAATCATGCTTGCTGTTGCCTTTCTACACATGTACATATGGGGGTTGGTCTGGCTCGGCCTGAAGGCAGACTCTGCACAAGAGCCCTTCAAGACTCTAGGTTATAATCTCTCTCTTTAAAAAGAATAGCATCCTCTGACGATTCAGGGCTCCACACGCAAAAATAATTGCAAGGGGCTCCAGAATTAACTGTTTTAGAGTCTGTATGCATGAGCCCTATGCTAATATATTGACATTTCAGGGGTTTGGACAAATTTGGGTGGCTACGTCTCCCAGGCACCTGTTAGTATTGAGCCCTGTATGACAACCCTACTCCCCCCCCCCCCCCCCCATCTCCCAACAACAACAAAAAGAATGAAGCTGATTAATGTCTGCACAATATTACCCTGTACCATGCCCAACATTGTTTCCCTTTCTTATCACAGACCCCTGGTTTGAGCCAATTTTCCATGAAATTCAGAGTGAAAATTAGGATCTAATTTTTCTATCAATAGGTAAAAATCAATTGTCTGGTATGTCTGATAATATTTCCATATATTATCACAGTAAGGCTCAAGCAATACTAACACAAACAATTTTTCTCTTCATGAATGTCCATCATTTTGCAGAAGCCAGAGATGCAGTAGGGCCTAGAGGCAAACAGCAAATACGGAAGAATCTCCCAACATCCCAAGAAGAAATTTTATTTGTTTACATTTGCTGAAATGGAATTACCTCAGCTCAACTTGAAATAAGGAGATTCCTTATGAAAAATTGCACTTGATGTCCATCAACTATATTTAAATTCACTGTTCACTTCGTCTGTTCGTCTGTCATTTTATATTTACAACAACAATAAATATCATGAAATAGACTAGTACTCATTCAACACTGACACTGACAAAATCAGGATGAAGCACTGTGTGGATATAATATTATTGGGGGATTAGATCTAATCATAATCATTTCCAATTTCACATTCATTCATTCAAAGCCAAGCTTAGCTAGGCCGTGCCAGAATGTAGGAAAGACAGCAACAAATAGCTGCACAATCCAGTACAACAATATTCCTTTCAATTTAGCACTAGCCATGGCCATGCACTGCAGTCTAACTGAAAACTCAAGTCAAAGACAATTGATTGAAATTTAAACAATCAGAATTCAGCAGTTCCACTCGCTCTCAAAAAAATAATTGTTCATCGACTTTAACGACAAAAATCTTAGCTACTACAGCTTATGCACATACTATCAATACTTATGCAGAGCTTTTATTTCATTACAACTGTATTACACTCCTCCAAATTTCTCAATTAAAACTTGATACAAAGAAAATGTCACCACCAACTCATCAAAATCCCTATTGAAAATACACACAACATCAAAATGGCGACTTTCACTACACATCATATGCTTAATATAGACCGTTTTAAATCATGAACGATGTACAACACAGACTATCTTGATACCTCTCATTCACGGTTAATATTTTAAACATCTCTCTGAAATATTTCCAATATCATAATTTACCTTCGAATGCCCTGAACTGAGTGCTAGATATTGATAAACATCGGCTGTCAGAGGTTTCGTCGGGGCTCCTTTCGGGACCTGCGAGCGAATTATCTATATGACGTCATATTTTTTGTTTCGCGGAGTTCGAGTGAGGGCGCTAGAGTGAAACCTTTTCAATGCATTTCCTCAAAGCCAAGACGATCATATCCGGGTACAATATAGTTTGTAAAATGTAAAAGATTGGAAAGAAAATATATTTAACTTGATATGGATTTATGTTATTTTTTCTACCGTGACAACGATCAATGAATATTGTAGGATCGCATATGCTTTCAATATGTTCATTTGAACCAAATTCATGACCCCATACCAAAACTTTGTATTACCTTTAACGGTTGTTAAATGCTTTTACATGTAATTGTTCTTCGTTTTACTTGTTATTATAGCTTAATTTTTTATATTTGATTAATTGGTCAGCCGCATATAAGGACCACCTCCTTTCTGGTTGCTACCAGCATTAGCAATTTCCTTTGTATTATTCATGTTTGTAAATTGCTTCTGTGTATTTCTGTGTTTACCTATGTTAGTAATTGTAATTGTGTGAAACTTTGTATACTGCTTTTGTTTTACCCTGTATGTTTTTTTTATTGCTTGGCAAAATAAATTGAATTGAATTGAATTGAATTGTATGAAGTTTGTAATGAAAATTCTGTTTCCTTTACTTATCCATTATTTTTCTTAAATCGCTTACAGGCATTTTGAAATTTGCGGTAAAGAAATGTCTAAATATCAATATTACTCTAATTCTTAATTCACATTTTCTACAACTAAATAATTTATAATGCACGAGTCCCCTCATTTTGTTGTTTTTAATATTATTTATTTTGCTTCCATTCAACAAATTCATAGAAAACATTATTGCATGTTATAGATTTTTTTTTTTTAAGCTCATACGTTTCGAATAATATGAATGCCAGAATGGAAACAATATAACATGAAATACCTCAAACTCCCTCTCCCCTAAAATAAATAAAAGATAAAAAATTCCCACTCCCTAACGTCTGGGCCATGCAATAGTGAACATGACCCACACTCATCTCTTCCTCCTTCTCTTTCCCCTCACTCTCTCTCTTCCCGCCCCCTTCTCTCTCTCTCTCTCTCTCTCTCTCTCTCTTACCCTCCCCCTCTGTACCTCTCTTTCTCCCTCTCACTCACCTCCTTTCTGCCTCTCTCTCTCCCTCTTTATCTCGTTCTCTTTCTCTTCCCCAAGCTCACTTACCTACTCACTTCTCATCCTCCTATCTCTATCCATTCATTTCTCACCTCCCTCCTCCTTATATATATATATATAATTATATACATATATATCTCCCCTCTGTACCTCTCTTTCTCCCTCTCACTCACTCCCTCTCTCTCTATATATATATATATATCTCTCTCTCTCTCTCTCTCTCTCTTTCCTCTTTATCTCGTTCTCTTTCCCAAGCTCACTTACCCACTCACTTCTTGTCCTCCTTCTATCTCTATCCATTCATTTCTCACACCCCCCCCCCCCCCCTCCTCCTTATATATATCTTCCTCTCTGTACCTCTGTCTCCCTCTCCCTCTCTGCCTGTCTCTCTCTCTCTCTCTCTCTCTCTTTCCTCTTTATCTCGTTCTCTTTCCCAAGCTCACTTACCCACTCACTTCTTGTCCTCCTTCTATCTCTATCCATTCATTTCTCACCACCCCCCCCTCCTCCTTATATATATCTTCCTCTCTGTACCTCTGTCTCCCTCTCCCTCACTCCCTCTCTGCCTGTCTCTCTCTCTCTCTCTCTTTCCTCTTTATCTCGTTCTCAGTCCCAAGCTCACTTACCTACTCACCAATCTTATCCTACCTTTATCCATTCATTTCTCGCCACCCCCCCCCCCCCCCCCCTCCTCCTCATATATATTCTCCATCTTCCTCCTTCCGGGCTGTTTCTCAATCCTTCATTGGTTCTTTCTCTGTGAATATTCATTTCCTCTCACCTATACTTTGCTATACGATCTGGATAGGCTTTATGATTAACCCTCTTACCGTTCTCCATCTTGTCCAGATGTAGAAGTGAGAAATTCCACTCCAACTTTTCCACTTTTTCCTCTCTTCATCCTGCTCCCCCCTCCCCTCTCAATTAATCTCCCCTTCCCTTCATCCCTTAAAATTACTCAAAAAATATGATTGTTCACAATATTTAAGTCAAGTCAATACACTGTAGCATCAGATGTAACTTTTGTCGAGATATTTTATCACACTCATCAACACCACCACCATCATCACCCTACCCATCATCATAAAGATCTCATCTTCCTCATCATCATAACTTCTTTCATCGTCATCTTAATCCGCCTCTTCCTCCTCATAATCATCATAATTTCATGTGCTCGTAACTGAACTATTTTGGAGTAAACGTCCCAAGAAACTGTGACCTTCCTTTATAGCTTGACAAGAACTTTTGCACTCATTTTTTTCTTCACTGACCCAACATCGGCTCTCACTCAAATACATTCAATCGCTGTGACAAAAAACATATACTGCATACATTCAAATATACACAAACTATCATATTTTGAAAAATATTCACAAGTGTATTTTCACCAATACAATATACATCATAATTCAAGATAAATTTCAAAATGCATCTTTAACAAGTTTTTCACATTATAGCATTTAAGTTTTTCTTCCTCATCAAGAAAAGACACTCTTCATATGATATCATCAGAAACAAATGACATACTTTGGGGATTCATAAATAAATTCCTCATGAGACAGGAGTACACATTAGTTAGGTCAACGGACTGATACTTCACCAAGGCAGGGTACTTCTTTTATTTGAGATATTGAAATGGATGGTAGATGGAAACGACAAATCAAAATATAAAGAGAGAAAAAGAGAGAGAAGGGGTAAGAAAGAGAGAGAGAGAGAGGGAGTGGGAAGAATAAAGAATGACCATGTGTATCAACATCACTGACCTTACGTATTTTGACTCGAAGACAAACTCAGCTGAAATTCATCAAGCATAACAAAACACAGACATTGACAGAGAAATTCACAATTATAGCAGCTGCAAATTGAAACAGAAATGTCTCACACGGGGAACTCTTTAATGAAAATGATTACATGTAAACCTTCCCCATACATATGCAAAGGCAGTTAGTAGAGCCAAACGTAGACTCAATAGTACAATGTCAATACAGCAGACTCAAGCTTTCTGTCTACTGCAAGGTTGGTCATGTACACAGTCAAACCTGCTTTAGCAACCACCTGTATAGAAAGTCCACTTGCCTATTAAAGGGATTGGGTATCTTTGTCTCAGATTCTAAATGAAATCCTGGATTTAGCTCATGCTGTAATCATAATTATAAACCTTTACGTCAGTCAGGAATCCCATGACTTTTACAAGCTGATCACCTGTCTGATTATCAAGATATTTATGATTGGATTTAGAAATATCACAAACTGTTTGCCACACAGTTTGTTTTTAACATTTGTTATAACAGTCTATTGGGGAAAATGATTATGGTAAAACCGGTCACTCAAAGATTTTTACTTTTTTGAAGCGCAATTTTTTAAGGGATTCAATATTACACCATATCATAGACACTGATAACACATAGGGCCATGTATCTCAGATTTGTAAAACTGGAAACATTGTTAAACAATGCCTTTAAAGCATCTTACTTTGATACTGATTTACACTAAACCATGTCCTAGAGAAACCTGTATATAAAGACCACCTGCCTTTAAAGAAACAAATATGACCCTTTTCTGTGGGAGGGGGGAGTCTTCCTTGAGTGGTCTTTATATAAACAGGTTTCAACGACTTACATTTGCGTACATTTCACTTTTGACCCCCCCCCCCCCCCCCCCCCCCCCACACACACACACACTTAATCAAGGGTTAGGAACTTGATTTGATCAGGCAGCAGAATGCATGGGATACTGCAAAGCCAGCATTTTCTTGAGGGTGTCTTTGTCATGAATGTACCTGTAGATCAGGGACAAAACTGCACTCACAATGCATGTGGAACTTATATTGAAAGTGGCCTGTGTAGATGATCATGTCTCTATCCCTATTATTGAGAAAATCTAAGCTCACTAAAATATTGGTTTATACAGTTGACCAACAATCTAGTAGCGACACTAATTTGTAAATTGATGTCAACAGTAGATTTCCGTGACACGAGCATGTGTTGTAAGCACTTGCAATTTGAGAAATTCTGGGTACTTCATGTTCAAAATCAATGGTGTAATTCCAATAGATCACATGCAATTAATCAAAATCAGTAGATAGTGTAGACAAATGTATGCTCCTTTACCCTGCGGCTAATCCATTATGACCAGAGTTCTGTAAGAAGAGTTGTCACTCAAGGCAGGATGGATACACATTCTGACTGAGTGATGATTCCCAGTATGATGAAATAGAAAAGGCTGAATCACGAGTCTGTTTGATCACTTAATGCTACGGTCACAAAGGTTCGTACAAACGATAATTTTGTACGAATCTCCCTGTTTTTCCATTGTCTGAAAATCCTTCGTACAGCGTTTGTAGCAGTTTTTCGTAATGGCATTTGTGACCGAGGCTTATATAATGTTCCAAATGCAAGAAGTCTCAACGTCCATAAGAGGATTCCTGCACAACATAATCAGACAAAGGAATGCCTGGAGCATCTCTTTCTCTTGCTCTCAGTGTCAGTGCTTGCTTTTCTTTTTGTGAGAACTTGACCTCCTATGCGGTGACCTTGACCTTGACCTCTGTGATTTTCTACTACTTGGTGAAGGTGACCTTCTCCTTCTTGGTGACCTTGATCGAGACCGGGACCTGCGGGATTTCTTAGGTGACCTTGTTCTGTGGCTAGGCGTCAATCTTACGGGAGGAGAGCGGGACCCTGAACGATGTGAACGACTTGATGGAGAGTCAGAGTATTCTCGTAGAACCGAGAGGGAATCTGGTGAAACTTTACGGCTGTTGCTACGCCTACTCGACGGGGACCGCGAGAAGTTCTGTTTCCCTGGACTGCTTGACCTGCTTCGTGACCTGCGGCGTTTTCGATCACGATCTCGTCTGGAGGATGAGACGACAGGCATCACTTCTTCCTCTCCGGAGCTTCCATCAAGCTCCTTGGAGAATCTCTCACGCTCCTTTTCACGGGCTCTTTCAAACTCCTTGAGTCGATCTCTTTCCCTGTCCTTGTTCTTGGATCTCTGCCTCTCAGCTTCCTTGTCTTTCTCCTGTAAGGATAAACAACAGGTCGTTTACTAACCATTAGGATACAGTGAAATTGATTGTCTTTAGTTGTATGCTAAGATGTATTGTACACACAGGTTAACAGTACTTTGAAAATAAGAGTGACACAACATCAAGATATTTATGATTGAAAATCGAAATCGAATTGTGCATTTGCCAAACAGTTTTCATAACACTACAGTCTATCGGGGAAAAGTATGGTAAAACTGGTCACTCAAAGGTTTTTCACTTTTTTGAGGCACTTCTTGATCATTTTGAAGCGCAATTTTTTAGGGCTTCAATACAACACCATATCACAGACACTGTTAACACGTAGGGCCGTGCATCTCAGATTTAACATTGTTAAACGATCCCTTTAAACCCTGAGCATATGTCTCTATAGCAAATGTCAGATCAACACAATAGAAGAGATATTGTTCTTACCTTCTGCATGAGTTTGTGTCTATACCTCTCCACCTGCTCCAGCATAGTCATATCCTTCTTCCTGCTCCTCCTACCTGACTCAACATCATCTTGGAACTTCATCACCTTCAACTAGGCAACAGACAAAAGCAAGGAAACACCATCAGGAACATCATTTCATTTTCTTTTTCGACAACTGGCGCTTACTTTCAAGCTTCTTTCTCTATTTTTGTCTTCATTTTCTTGTTATCAGTTTACTTTAATATATTTTATCTCATGCCTATGCTGGTTTAAAGTATAAATTGAACTGTTTTTATTCATGTTATGTATATATACATCCACATATTTTTTACAAATTTTTTTAATTGAATTGAATTGAAATGATTCTTCTCAATTAGCATGGAAACCGGAAGTCAAGTATCATCAATACCCATGTACAGTTTAGTAATGCCACCACCCCCCCCCCCCCATTTTGTTTATATTTCAGTTAACCTGTTGACAAGTGGATTCTTGCATTCACATAGGCAATGGGTTAATATATAGCAGGACACATGGCAGGTGCTGGTGTGAAGTCTTTTATTTTCATCCCGAACATTCAACAAATGAGAGGTGACAAATAATTGACATGCATGACCATGTACGTCTTTCCCTTGTGATCGCCCAGTGACAAACAAACTGACATAGACAGCTCGAGAGCAGGGAGTCTATGAATCCCAGTGTGGGAGCTTCTAGTGTATTCCAGGCAGACAGCAGATTGCTTTGCGGCCTCAGTTTCATATGATATTTGCAGTAAAATTCATCCATTATCATGGAAGGAACATCTAAATATCTTGAGCAGGCTTGACAACAGGCAACCAGAGCCCCATCTTATAAAGAGTTGCGATCGATTTTGATCAATCGCAAGTTTGCAGTCCCTGTTCTCTTACGTACATAGTTACGTTCGATATAAATCAAAAATAAGTTGCGATTTATATCAATTTTTTTATAAGACGGGGCACAAGTATGAGAACTTGGAGAAGAATTACCTCTATTTCCCTGAGTTTTGCTCTCTTCATTTTGACCATTTCATTTGACTTGTAGAAGTCTGTGGCCAAAGATTGTACATTGTCCTCTCCATCTTCATCATTCTCCTCTCTGTCTTCCAGCTCATCTCTGGAAATTAAGGATAAAGGAGAAAGTGATATGTCATAATAATTGGTTTGTAAAGAATGCATCATTCTGTATAGCATACATCATTAATAATAATCTGGATTTACATAGCACTTAATACCAAATACCATCTCTAAGCGCTTTACAGATATTATTACCCCAGTCATCGGATTCATTCACAAACAATATGCACCATCTCCACTCCTTGGGGAGCATTCCTACCATACAGTCATATGTCAATTACTTATCCTACCAGGTCCCCATTTCTCTCCTGGGTGGCAAATCGAGTGGCAAATGTAGTTTAATGCCTTGCCAAAAGACATAAGTGGGAGTGATCTAGGGTTATAACCAAGCTGCTCGAGAATAGCATACATCGATCATCAAACAATATCTCTGAGGAAATTTGAATTCATCATTTGTATGCATGATTGACAAAGTCTTAAAAAGCGAATTTCGATTTCTCAATCTGTTTTATATGTTTGTATGTTTTTATTTATTTATTCATCTATCCGCTTATCTATCTATCTATCTGTCTATCTAACACTCTATATGTATGCAGTCATTCTTTTTTTTTATCTTTCCCTCCAAAGATTATCCGTTTATCTTGATTTGTCTTTACTCACTCTTCATTCTGTTCTTCCTGCTCTTGTTCTTCTTCTTCATCTTCTGCCAGTGTTTCCCATTTTGATGTGGTCATGGCTTGAGCTTCCAGCAGAGAGGAATCAACTGTTTCCCATTTGGAAGGTGCAACCTGTAGAAAACAATGACACAGAAACCTTGGGTAATGATGATGATAATAAGGATAATAATGATAACAATGATTATGATGGTGATGGTGAGGATGGTGATGATAACAATGATAATGATGGTGGTGATGATAACAATGATAACAATGATGGTGATGATGATGATGATAACAATGATTATGATGGTGATAATGATAACAATGATGATGATGATGATGATGATGATGATAACAATGATGATAATAATTTTGATGATGGTGATGAGGATAACAATGATGATGATGATGATAACAATGATGATAATAATGATGATGATGGTGATGAGGATAACAATGATGATGATGATGATAACAATGGTGATGATGGTGATGATGATCATGATGGTTATGACAACAATGATGATGGTGATAATAATGATGCTAATAATGATAACAATAATGATGATGGTGATGATGATGATGATTACAAGAATGATGATGATGATAACAATGGTGATGATAAAGATGATGATAACAATGATGATGATGATGATGATAACAATGATGATGATGATAACAATGATGATGATGATGATGATGATAACAATGATGATAATAATGATGATGATGGTGATGAGGATAACAATGATGATGATGATGATAACAATGGTGATGATGATGATGGTTATGATAACAATGATGATGGTGATAATAATGATGCTAATAATGATAACAATAATGATGATGGTGATGATGATGATGATTACAATAATGATGATGATGATAACAATGGTGATGATAAAGATGATGATAACAATGATGATGATAACAATGATGATGATGGTAATAATGATGATGGTAATAATGATGATGGTGATGATGATGACAATGATGATGGTGGTAATGATGATGGTGATGATGGTGATGATGGTGATGATGGTGATGATGGTGATGATGGTGATGATGGTGATGATGATGACGATAATGATGGTGATACTCTCAATTTTTATTATAAATTTGGTTGGCAGTCAGAGAATACAGAATACAGTTCAGTTTAATTCACAAGTTTACTAACCTTAAATTCTTTGTCATCTAATTTCAGTCCACCGCTGCTTGTGAATGACTGCTGGTCATCATGGTCATCCTGCATTGGAGCACCGTCAATGGGGTCTCCATCAATAGGGGCACCATCAAGTTCTTCAGCAGCCTCGACGAGTACTGTTCAAATAATTTCAATAATGATATTGATAATTAATAAAGAAACTAGATGGAATTTTGACTGCGCGCAGTCGAAAATGATGCCTCCGCAATAGAGCAATTTAAACAAGTTTGGAGTTTAAATCTCCAGTGGTTCTTGAGATATCATGATAACAATCTCAATGTATGGAATTTCGTAAGTTGACCTCTGTGACCCTTGACCTTTGACCTACATGCTCCAAAATCTAATCAGATTGTCTTCCTATGGTGATACACACTATCATTAAGTTTGAAGTTTAAATCTCTAGTGGTTCTTGAGATATTATGATAACAATCTCAATGTATGGAATTTCATAAGTTGACCTCTGTGACCCTTGACCTTTGACCTACGTGCTCCAAAATCTAATCAGATTGTTTTCCTATAGTGATACACACTATCACTAAGTTTGAAGTTTAAATCTCCAGTGGTTCTTGAGATATCATGATAACAATCTCAATGTATGGAATTTCATAAGTTGACCTCTGTGACCCTTGACCTTTGACATACGTGCTCCAAAATCTAATCAGATTGTTTTCCTATAGTGATACACACTATCACTAAGTTTGAAGTTTAAATCTCCAGTGGTTCTTGAGATATCATGATAACAATCTCAATGTATGGAATTTCATAAGTTGACCTCTGTGACCCTTGACCTTTGACATACGTGCTCCAAAATCTAATCAGATCGTCTTCCTATGGTGATACATACTATCCTTAAGTTTGAAGTTTAAATCTCAAATGGTTCTTGAGATATCGCGCTAACAAACTCAATACAAGGAATTTCATAAGTTGACCTCTGTGACCTGTGACCTTTGACCTACGTACTCCAAAATCTAATCAGATCGTCTTCCTATGGTGATAAATACTATTCCTGAGTCTTAAGTTTAAATCTTAAATGGTTCTTGAGATACTGTGATAACGGTCAAACGGGACGGACGGACGGACGTACGGACGGACGGACGGACGTACGGACGGACGTACGGACGTACGGACGGACAACCCGAAAACATGATGCCTCCGGCACCACCTTCGGTGGCGGAGGCATAAAAATGATAACGAGAACACAAACAACAACAACAACAATTATTAGCAGCCGCAGCAGCAGAGCAAAGGAATAGCTTTAGGACACCTCCAAAATGGATATTTGTTAATTCAGGGGAATATAATCTCCAGAAAGTGGAAATGATATGGGGTCTCTTTAATGAAAGGTAGAAAAGAGTGTAATCATAGCTTTTATTCAAGAGGTTCCTATAGAACACTATACCCATGGCTGGAATACCAGGGTAGGGAAAAGTGTGAGGGCAAGCTTAGATCCAATGAACGGGACAATAGTACATCTTTAAAACGATTAAAGTGTCATTAATGCATTAAGCAATATATAAATCCAGGTTGTTACTATAATTCAACAACGTCGTTTCGAACAACTCGATAAAGACTTACATGGGGCACCATCAAGGTCCAATTCGTCCTCCATCGGGACACCATCAAAGTCGACAGCATCGACCTTCTCCTTTTTAACTTCATCCACAGGTACACCATCCAGATCAACCTCAGGTTGGGCAAGGGCCTGGTGGATGGATAGGAGAGGCAGAATTCAAGTCAATTCAATTTGATTTCATTCAGTTCAACAAATAAACATTACATATAACCATCAGATATATTGCATAAAATACACATTTAAAACATATTGGACCAGGCCTTAAAAAATAAACTGTATAGGCTGCAACATGAATGGAAACATAATCCTTATATAAAGGTTGACTTATGTTTGATAATAAACTAGATGGAATTCGACTGCGCGCAGTCGAAAATGATGCCTCCGTCATAGAGCAATTTTACAAACCAAAACAGAAGAAATTTTTCGAATTCAAGTTCAATTGTAATCCATTGACAGGTTCTCAGAAAATCGTGATTACAAGCAATTTCTCATATACATATATGACCCTTTGATCTTTGACCTCATGACCCTAAAATCTACTCAGTTCATTGGCTCTGCAAGATGTCCTGAGTTAAATAGTAATCCATCTGTCAGTTCTAATGAGAATGCGTTCACAAGCTATTTTTGCATACATAATGAGCCCATGACCTTTGACCTTTGACCTTATGAACCAAGAATCTACTCAGTTCATTGGCTCTGCAAGTAACATACATAACCTAATTTTGGCAGGAATCCATCAATCGCTTCTTGAGATAACGCGGTCACGAGCTGTTTTTGCATACATAATGTGCGCTTTGGCCTTTGACCTTTGACCTCATGACCCCTAAATCTAATCAGTTCATCGGCTCTGCAAGTAACATACATGACCTAAGTTTGGCAGCAATCCATCAATCGATTCTTGAGATAACGCGATCACGAGCTGTTTTCGCATACATAATGAGCCCTGTGACCTTTGACCTTTAACCTCGTGACCCCCAAATCTAATCAGTTCATTGGCTTTGCAAGAGACATACATGACCAAAGTTTGGCAGGAATCCATCAACCGGTTCTTCAGATAACGCGATCACGAGCTGTTTTTGCATACCTAATGAGCCCTGTGACCTTTGACCTTTGACCTCGTGACCCCAAAATCTAATCAGTTCATCGGCTCTGCAAGATACATACATTACCAAAGTTTGGCAGGAATCCATCAATCGGTTCTTTAGATAACGCGATCACAAGAACGGGACGTACGTACAGACGTACGTACAGACGTACGGACGTACGGACGGACGGACGGACGGACAACCCGAAAACATAATGCCTCCGGCTACTTCGTAACGGAGGCATAAAAAGTATGAAATAAATTTGTTACTGAACATTATACAAGAAACAAATCAAAATAGTTGTTATAAATCCCTGAATCTGAAAAACATACATCTGAACACACCTGGTCAAGTAAAATGAGTCGGACTGGGTGTGCACATTAAATGATACTATTGAAAAAGCTGTTGCGCATTTTATTTTCATATCAGGTACAATGCGCCTCAAAATGTTATAATCACATCTGATTGTTGTTATTCTCATATCCCGTTATACTGTACCAAAGTAAAAACAAGATGCTACAAAATGTCATGATCCAATCTGGTAACAATCATGTGCCAAACAGACGATCAGATATTTCTGTTTTAAAAACCAGAGAAGTGTGTGTGGAAAATACTAACCTCTGGGTCTTTTATTTGGAACTCTTCTTTAACAGTGTCATGGTCTAGGAACCCAAGAAAGATGTTCTGAAGACGGACCAGGAACTCGTTGGGATACACTGCCCAGTCTTCCCAACTCCTGAAGCAAGCCATCACCCTTTGCTGTATATTACAAAGGTCAAAGGTCAAAGGTCAAAGGTCAAAATAAGGGGGACAAGTAGTTTTTGTAGCATCATTGCAAAATAGTTCATAAAATGAGTCGCATCGTATAATATAAATATGCTAATTTAATAATAATTTCTGTTTCTAATAAGTGCTTTACCACTAACTGACCAATGTGCTTACAGCATTATCATTACCCCAGTCACAAGATTCAATTAATATTCATCCACATTCTCTACTCCCTAGGGAGCATTCCAGCTAGTCTTCTTTCTATAAAAGGCATAAAATGTTGATACAAATCATTCATATTTTCTATTATCAAGGAATATGTAAAAAGTCTAAAATATTTGAATTTTCGCTTTTGAATATATTTTATTTTAACGCTACAAATGGCTTTCCAGAATTTTTAAGTCCTACTTCTAGTTAAATTCGACTTAAAATCTTTGTGAAACATGCCCCTGTGGCGAGGTTCTTTGAATCACTAGATTTTGCATAGAGATGTTACCTTGAACTGCTCAGCCTTGAGTCTTTGTTGAATGCCGCTGTATGTCTCTCTAACGTCTTGCATGATGACGGGGAGGTGATTCTCAAAGAACTTACGGAAGAAGGATGCGTTGGATACCTTGGAGCTGGAGTTGAAGAGAATATCTGAGACGAGGAACAGTCGGCCCATCTGAAGATACCGAGAGAAAAGCGGTAAGTAAGCAGCTGAAAAGCAATTCTAGACGGCAATAATTGTCATAAGTTGTCCTGACCTAACGGAACACGAAAAACTTTGCATGCAGAATATGTTCATGAATTTGACAAGTGGTACAGATTTGCCAAAGTTTTATGCTGCGAAATACTTGAATCACACTAAACTTAGGTAATTTGTTAAACTTTCTTGCTGTGATTGAACATGGCTATTTTCTAAAACATTCACAGAACAGAAAACACAGAAAATGTTTATATTACACTACATGAATTTGTGTAGGTACGTGCATGTGTGTGTGTGCAGCAAACGCCTTCAATACAAACACAAATGAGGTGCCCTCATGGTATGACCGTCCAAAGTTTTGGGGCCAAAAATAAAAATACAATAGGGCTTAAAAATGATTGTATCATCTTGAAGGAAGCATTGAAGGTATTACCTTTTTTGGGAGTGGTGTTTCCGGGAGGGCCAAAGATTCTGCGATGCATTCCACTATCTCCTCTGCTGATTCAGCATGGTCTAGGCAGTACATCATAGCTTCTCCTATCTTATATCTATCCATGGTGATTGCTCTTAACATGTCCTCAAGCTTATCTCTTTGACTGAAAGAGAAAGAAAAGAGTCAAACCATGGAGATATGATCACACTAGACAGAAAGAGTCAAACCATGGAGATATGATCACACTAGACAGAAAGAGTCAAACCATGGAGATATGATCACACTAGACAGAAAGAGTCAAACCATATAGATATGATCACACTAGACAGAAAGAGTCAAACCATATAGATATGATCACACTAGACAGAAAGAGTCAAACCATATAGATATCACTAGACAGAAAGAGTCAAACCATATAGATATCACTAGACAGAAAGAGTCAAACCATATAGATATGATCACACTAGACAGAAAGAGTCAAACCATATAGATATGATCACACTAGACAGAAAGAGTCAAACCATATAGATATGATCACACTAGACAGAAAGAAGTGACAGAAATCTAAATCTGCAAATTTCAACTTTAGCTTATGCAATTAAAAGGATTTGAGAATCCCATTTAGCTCTTCATATTAAAGTCACTCGTAAAGTCATGCGTAACTTTCCGCACAGCTTTATGAAACAGCCCCAAGTTCTATAACAGAATACTGGACCGGCCAGCAATGGACTTACTGATTTGTGAGAATCTTCTTCTTTGGTAGTTGTTCTGGTTCTGGCTGAAGAGCTTTGGTGATGGCGTGTTTTGGAGCCAATGCATCTGGCATACCTTGCTGGTATGGATTGATAGGGGGTGGTCTCCACACAGAACCGTCCTTGAACATGCTGAACTCATCAGTTGACCACTTGGTTATGGAATCCCCCTGATATAAAGACAGAGAAAAATATAGAAAGGCTACTAGTATTTTACTTTTTTCATAATCCCCCTTCCCTCAAATGTAATGTACGTGTATATCTCCTTCAACCTGTCAAAAATATTGAGCATGTGTAGTCGATCTTTCTGACATGACATGGTTTCAAAAGACAGTGCATGCACTATATACGCATTAGTTGGTAAAATTCACGGGGTTTGGGGCGAATTAGCCCCCAAAATGGTAAAAAGAGCCCCCAAAAATTTGCACAGAGTTCAATGCAAAACAAATTACAGAGTGTGATTTTCATGCAAGCAAGCTTGAAAAGTAGCCCCCCAATTTTTTAAAGTATTGTTTCCCCTGGTACAAGGGGTGAATCAATGGAGTTTATAGTTTATACCTTTGAGAAGAACATTTGTACATAATGTAATAGCTCAACAAATGTTATGCAATGCTCAATGGTGCCCTTTTCTAGTAGGAGAATCATTTACTGAAATGTAGATAGACACAAGAAAATCAATTCATATTATTATTTTTCATGTTTAAAATGTTTTTTACCTGGAGAATGGAGAAGAGTTTCCACCTGTAGTAAACATGAGCTGGTGTCTGGTTGTCAAACAGAAATCTAGAACAGAACAGGCATAATTCATAGATTAAATGTGGACTACATAAACTAACAGAGTGTCATTAAATTTTAATTCAAACTCATTCAAATGTTACTACACTTGCTTAAACATCAAAATCTTTCTATGTGACTGTATTTGAAAAACATGTATATAAAAGAGAGTTGAAATCAGATATGTTTTTAAATTCTCAGGTATATGAAATTAAGTAAGTATGACTGACCAGACTTTAAATTAGATTTCAGTAGTGAATTTTTAATGTAAAATTTGTCATATTTGAAATTATCCATGCACATTTTTAGATATGAAATTCAATTAGAATTCTGAATTTTGGAATGTCAACATTTGAAAATGAATTTGAATTATTTAATTAGGATGATTGAAATCTTCATGCTCATTTCTACATTTGAAATTGATTTGAATTCAAACTCATTCAAATGGGGATCATTCTCATCAAGCCAATTTTGGCTTTCATGATTCCCCACTTCCTTTTATCTTGTTTATAATGAACGAACATGTATAAACTTTTGATGTTTTTTAAAAGAGAGTGAAATAAATAAATGAAATGAAATTTTCCACTCCTCTCTCTACCTGAACATAGGATTGTTGATCTCTCTGTTCATGACCATAGCCTCAAACATGGGACCCTCGTTGACGACAAACTCGATCATTCGATGGATGACTTGAAGGAGGGGTCTGCAGGGGAACAGGATCAAAAGAAATACACCCCTTGCTTGTTTAGCACGCACCCCCTAACCATTCTCAATTCTTCATGTGCCACAAGAACTAATCATCGTTTTCACACCGTTTCAATTTAACACTCTCATTCTTGTTTTTGACATTGCTTGGCTAAACATGAAGAAATGGGGTAGCTCTCACAGAATGTTTGTTGAACGAAAACAAGTTGGTCTCTTCACAAATATAAAATACAAGTGGCATTTTAAAAAGTATGAAGAAAGACAATTAACAATAATCTTGATTCTGATATCAAATTACAATGGTAGAATTACATGTATGTACCAATGTCTAACACATAGCTATTTTTATATTCAAGTGCATAACAATGAAATATACCCTATACATTCAAATGGAAAATTCTCATTTAATGTGGATCAAAAAAATAAAGGAATGTAAAGAAACTAAACAGTTGTTGGATTTCAATTATTCTAATAACTGACAAGGATAATATATACAAAATCCCATAGATTTTTAAAGATACTATCAAAATAATTTAGATTAGTTTTTGTTAATTACATTTTGCCTGACACTTAACAGATTAAACAGCTCTGTATATTATACGGGTTGAATAATTACAAAAACACTAGCTTTCAAATGGTCTCACTATCATAACTATGATAAACTGATACTCAAATTATAACACTACAGTAACAGAGTATGTGTGCCATACTAACACCTATATATATATATATATATATATATATATATCTATCTATGATTGTTCCTATTGGGTTCTTTGTCAACTAAGATTCTTATCAAATTGAAGGTCAAAGTTCACTGACTTACAAAGATTGTGATTTTATGCCTATGGTGATCACTCTTAACTAATGATTGCATTAAACATTCCCTAATCATCAAACTACCAGGGGCCAGTTTCTCGAAAACCGTCATAAGTCTAAATTCATAGACATCCCGTAGATACGTGTGTTAATTATACCCACATTTCAATGGGATGTCCAACAAGTTAGACTTATAATGGTTTCGAGAAACAGCCTCCAGGTTATTTCACAATCGATTTGTTGAAAGAGAGAGTACTTTCAGGGTAAACATGAGGATTGCCAAATAATGCTTAGTTTGTGGCTCACATGACAGCTAGTAAAATTAGTTCATTCATTTTCAGAAAACATGATAATACTGTTTACTTCAAAATAATATTCTTTGTGCATTTTGGCCAATATTTAATTGATTCTTTAAAAAGACTGTCCAGTAGAGTCTGAATCTATCTGTTGATAAATATATTGAAGTATTCTGTTAAAATCAACTTCATACTTCTATTCAAAACACTTTCCCTTTAAAAATGTTTTTAAAAATGTTTTCTGAAAATGTTACACCCTAAGAATGACTTACAATTGAATATTTAATTCAACAAGAAACTCCAAAGTTGATTTAAAAATAATAGATCAAAACAAATAAAAATGGGTATTACGCATACATACCTTTTGAAGAAAGTGCATGTCCTAGTCTGACGTTCATATGAAAATCCCTACCTAGTCCCAAGACCACTACCAACTCGATCAAGGGTTTTCATTTTAATTCATGTTCAAGATCATGAAGTTTACAATCTTAGCATTTACATTTTTTGACAGGTTCAAAATGTAAGATGTATTTCTTTATTAAAACACTCTTCAATCACTGATAAAGTCTGCTCAAATAGTAACAGTGAGATGTTCTTCAAAGTGAATGAAATGTGACAAATTGTTATATCAAAGCTATTTCTTTGTTGTTATTTTTTGTTACACTCTTTAAAGAAAAAAAATCACCTAAAGTTGGTTGTGGTCTATCTAACAATTCCCTATCTAAATTTGCTTTAACCCTCGTTAAGAAAATCTATTTGCTCAGTGTGACGAAATAAAGAGAATTAAGCTGAAAGACAATAATAACATGGCAGAGAGAGATAAAAAATCTGCCCACAAAATAATCCAGGCCGTTGCCGATCTGGTTGACTGCAGTACCTTTCGGTCGGGATAACCACTTTTACAACTGCTTCTTTTAAGGTCTGGTACGATGGAGAGACGATCGAGAAAGGAAGGAAACGAACCGAGAGTCGAAACAAGAACAGGAAAAGCGTCAGTAAAATGCACCAACAAAAAAATTGCAATTATCTTTCTTTTTCTTCATTTTTGACCAACACAATGAATGATATTTGTGGTCTGACTATGTTTCTATTTCACGCAATAATAAACAAGAATTATTGTCTTATTACTTTTGATGTGCCATGAAAATACTACCAATTTTGTATTGATGGAGCGAAAAAAATTAAAAACAAAATATGTAGATTTATCTTGCTATATCTATGGTTCTCATTTTCAAAACATAATGTAATAACAATTTACTGTAGTAAATAACTAAAAGACACTATCCCTGAAATTGGCAAAATTTCTATGTCAGTTGAAATATTTTCAATCTATTAGAGATGCCTTCATAAAAACAAGTATGTAAGAAAACCACATGTATGGAGGTGGTGGGCAAATGTGTATCGTGCAAAAATACATGTCGTGTAAAATTGTACAAATGTGATATCAAATGTAACATCCCTTTCAAAGGTAAGACAGACACAATAAGCATTAAAATAAGTTACTAGAAAATAAAATGAATCTTATGTAACTGTGCGAATCGATGTAATAAATCATGATACTACTTCCACACCACACCTCTCCACCTCTACAAGCCGATCAAATACAGATTTGCAGTAGCATGAAGGAATACAAATCATAAAAGCTCATGGGATAGAGCCAGTAAAGAATGTGATAATACAGCACTTATCTTGACTATGTACTAAATACTATGGGTGGTATTCTCGAAAACAGACTAACTTTAGTCCATGGTTTAATCCACCGACTAAATATGAAATGCCAAGTGTCCATACGAATATATTTTTTAATAATTTGATATGTCCCTAAATTACCATGATAACATAACTATATCATAGTTATATTGTTGTTTATTAATTAAGTTATTACATTTTATTATAATTTAGTGACAGATTAAATTATTCAAAACCATATTCATATGGACACTTGGCATTCCATACTTAGTCGGTGGATTAAACCATGGACTAAAGTTAGTCCGCTTTCGAGAATACCACCCTACTTCTTTAACTTTGTACGATGCTCTCTCTCTCTCTCTCTCTCTGACAAGCATCACTCGTATACACATCAGACAAGGGCAAGCTGAATTGCTACATATATGGATCTTAGAGGCAAAAGTGGGTGGGGCGGGGGGAGGGGCGGAGAGAGATATTCAAAGTTAAGTATCACCTCTTCTAGTTCCCCCTCTTCCTCCATGGTGAGTTGGATTCCCGGGGGAGGCAGGTTGGGTATATCTCTCTTGGAGCTCTTCTTGAGTTGGGAGTTGAAGGGTAGGCCGGACGGGGGAGGGGGCATGGTGAGCTCTATCATGGCTTCCGGGATGTAGACTGGGTGGGGAGGGAGGACCACTGCCTTGCCCCAGCCTAGCTTCATCTCATAGTTCATGATTTCTTTGCCTGCAGGGGAAATAAGAGATATTTAATAATAGTACTAATGATGACGATAGCGAAGATGATGATCATCATCGTGAAGGAGAAGGAAGAGGATAAGGAAGAGGATGATAAGGAAAATGGGAGAGGAAGAGAGAGAGAGAGAGAGAGAAGTAGGAGGACAAGGAGCGCATGTCAATAATGCATACTTTGAAGTTAATACTGGTGCTTGTGTACAAATTAAAAGGTCCTTGAGCTATTCTCTCTTTGGTATGACTGATATTAATTAATGATATCTCAAGAAATGAAGAAAATTACTACATATTGTGAAATTATCATTGCTTAGTCTTCTAAAAGTTAGGCATATTGTACATGTCGCATTGTGCTAATTTGAGAGTGCATAAGGTAATAACCTAGCTAATGAGTTGTCAGCTATACATGTAGGTGTGTCTTACCATTCAATGCTCTCATGGCCCGCTCAGCATCCCGGCGGTTCATGAAGGCCACAAAGCCACAGTTCCTATTCCTTTGTCTCTCTGCGTCGGTCCTCGGCCACATGATCTTGACGCTGGCCAGAGGACCGTACTGAACAAACTCCTTACACAGCATCTCCTCATTCATCTATGGGCAGATTAGATTAGATTAGATTAGATTAGATTAGATTAGATTAGAGGGGAGATTGGAAGGATTGAGAGATAGTAGGTGGGGGAAAGAGGAGAGAAAGGTAGAGCCTTACACGGCATCTCCTCATTCATCTATGGGCAGATTAGATTAGATTAGATTAGATTAGATTAGATTAGATTAGATTAGATTAGATTAGATTAGATTAGAGGGAAGATTGGAAGGAGTTAGAGATAGTAGGCGGGGAAGGGGCAAGAGATAGGTAGAGGGGAAGAGATAAAAGGGCCAGGGGCACAATGTACTCCCCCTGGACGCGCGTTTCCGTTTTACACCCTGCCCTAGGCTTTTCGGCAAGAAATTACACGAAACATGCTGTATCCGAAGTCTAAGTTTGTTTATATCGACGTCAAGAATAGCGAAGCCAAAGCTTATGTACAATTTCAATTGGGGTTGCGAGGGTCTTCTTGTTCAAGACGGTTTTCCCGATATATTATTGTTTTGTTATCGCTGGGCTAAATTTTGCGAGCTGATCACGCATCCTCACGCTCTTAGAGTATTGCGTATTAATGGATAAAAATAAATGATACGACTAGGAAGATCAACTAGTTAGTATAGAGAGTTAGCTAGCGCTACGTGACGTTTTCAGAGTTCTGGTGGTGTGCAGAGCGCCGAGGCAAGATGTGGACGACTAGACTCCGAATACCAGTCGGTTTGTAAAATTTTATTGGAGAAAAGCCTAGGGCAGGGTGTAAAACGGAAACGCGCCCCCTGGACGAGTCATGAAATGTTCCAAGGATAATTTGTTTGCATCTGCATCTTTTGATACCAAATTTATCAGATTTCAACCAACAGGTACTGCTTAGCATCCAAAGTGAGAAAACCAAAATAACATGCATACACCAGGGCCCATCTTACAAAGAGTTGCAATTGATCCAAATCAATCACAAGTTTGCAATCTCCTATCTCTTATGTACATAGTTTGGCAAATAAGTTGCGATTGATTTTAAGAAAAAAAGAAGAAAAAAACATAAAGGAAATAAAGGATAATGAGCTTAGTTTTGTCAAATAAAAATACAAAACAATTGAGCTGTGTTCAACATGAAGTAATTTTATTTGGGATATACTTTAAATGAAATGTAGGCATGTCTCATAGCCATCACTCCACCACAGAGGGCAGTGTGAGGTTTGAGCGTAATGAAACATACCATTTATTCTTGCACATCATACAAGCCCCCTACCTATGGTGTCAATCAGGTAGTGGGTCTGCTCTAACAGTGCCATACAATTGGTAGAAATAGCAAAAAATGCAGAAAAGTAATAACTGGAGGGGCTAGGGGCGCACACACTTTCCTAGTCGAAAGGTACCATTATGTCCATGATATACCGTACATATTTTAACTAAATGAATCTCTTTTTACTGGAAACCTGTATAGAAAGACCTCTCAATGCAGACAAGAAATGTGGTCTTTACAAACAGGTTACTTTTGTTCAGATTGCTGCAATGAGAAACACTTTTTGAAAGGAAACAAAATGTGATCTTTATACACAAGGTGGTGTGGTTGCAAAGCCTGTTTTACTCTGAGATCTCCCGCTAAAAAAGAGCAATAGCTTATGAAATCAGAAATAAGATTTAGGAAACATTGCCTCATTTTCAAAAAAAGCGATTTATCCTACTTGAGAATATCAAATGCTACTTGCCTTTGGATTAATGCTTCCCAGGAAGATATTGGTCGTGTTTGGATCCCCATAGTCATGTGACCCATAACTGTATTCCTCAATGCCTGCTGTGATATTAAAAACAGTAAAAAAGACACAAAGTGTTATACAGTAGGCTTGCGGATGCACCATGTCATAGAGAGGGAGGATTAAGGTAATCTTGAGGGTGTGTAGTCTTGCAAAAGACTGTTGGTTATCTTTTTCAGCTTATAGTTCTAAGGAGAACTATAGCGCTTGGAGAGGACGGGTAGTGGGAGTGGCAGAAAGTGTTGTTAAAAAGAAATTGTTGGACCTCTTCAAGCTGAATGTACACTAACAGAGTATTATCATTTCTGAGTGTCTAGTGTTTGTTACTCTGCAAGTTTAGTTTGTCAAATAAAAAACAAAACATCAAGCCATATTCAATATGAAGTAATTTAATTTGGGAAATACTTCAAATGAAATGTGGGCATTTCTCATAGCCATCACTCCACCACAGAGGGCAGTGTGAAGTTTGAGCGTAATGAAACGTACCCTTTACTCTAGCACATCATACAAGCCCCCTACCTATGGTGTCAATCAGGTAATGGGTCTGCTCTAACAGTGCCATACAATTTATAGAAATAAGAACATCATAAACACTACAAGTAGTCATAAGTTTCCTCCAACCTTACATTGCCAAGCAAGTTGCAAAGATAAGAAACAGACCATGAACATCACAAGTACATGTAGTTGAAATTTCAACTCCGCTTAAATTAATTAGGCAAGTGTTTGTCTACTCATGTGGACCATGGTAGAAGCTAAAAGTTAACAAGTCTACAGAAGGCATAACTGCCAACCTTTCATAGCAAAAATTAGGAATCTCTCAAAGGAAAAACTTGTTTCTTTTCAATGATTCCAAACCTCACAATGAACAAGTATTTTTGAGTAAAATATAACATTAAACAAGAAACTATTGCGTAAATGAAATGTTCAGCTTTCTATAGCACGTCAGAAATGCAAAACACCATGCTGCAAAATTGGTAAATCACAGCTGACACAAACATAGTTTTTCTGCTAATTGCAAAAGGTTGTTGTTACAAGCAATACTCTCATAGTGAATGCTTTATGTTGCAGAAGTTTCAGGTTTTAGAGTAATTAACTTTTCCAAATGGAGCCTTTCAAAATAAAACCGCTTGACTTGAGCTTGAACTTATCTATAACTCCCTTGACAGTGAAAAAACAAAAAATCAAACAACAAGTTTATGCAAACTAAAATTTAGCTTATAATTGATTACCATTATACCTTTCATGTCTGTACCTTTCCTATTGTACTTTTGTATATATTCATCATGTATTTCATCTTTTGCACAAGCTGCGCCTTGAGCATTTGACTGTCAAGTGGATTTGGCACCTTATAAATCTTATGTATTATTATTATTATTATAAAGCAATTGTGGTAGTATTGCAAACCTGGTAATCTGATATCAGATGCTGATCCAACGGAGGTGGGTTGAGGTGTAGGCAGAATAGGCTCATCATAATCAGTGTCGCTTCCTCTCGCTTTTCTCTGTTTATGCCGCTCCTCTCTCTCTAACTGAAGCCTGAAAAATAAAGGGTCACCAGAATACAGTACTTTCAAAGAGACAAATTACTTAACTCTAAAAGGGCCAGGGGCAGAATCCATTCCCCCTCGACATGCCATGATACATTCCAGGATGAATTTTCTCGCGCCATGAGCATTCACAACTTTATAACCTAGAGTTTTCTGCCTCTTTTGATATCAAATTTATAACATTTCGTCCAACATGTACCATGCAGGGTACAAAAACTGGAGTGCTGACCGGAGCTCAAATACAAATAGAGACTACAAGTCATTTAGCAATAAATCAAAACTTACTTGAGACATAGATTTGAAACTTCATGGGCTTATTCTTTATGAGATACTCTATCTGTAGGCAAAGTTTCAGAATGTTATTCACTCCATGAAATGTAGGCATGTCTCATAGCCATCACTCCACCACAGAGGGCGGTGTGAGGTTTGAGCGTGATAAAACATACCCTTTAGTCTAGCACATCATACAAGCCCCCTACCTATGGTGTCAATCAGGTAGTGGGTCTGCTCAAACAGTGCCATACAATTTGTAGAGATAAGATCATGAACCCCACAAGTAGTTCTCGGTTTCTACTAACCTTATAGGATTAATTAGAGGGTCTGTTAAAACATTGCCAAGCAAGTTGTGAAGATAAGAAACAAATCATGAAGCTCAAAGTTGACAAAGTCCATAAGAGTTAACCCTATTTTAACTGGGCTATTTCAGACCAGGTTTTTACTGGGGGGGGGGGGGGTCAATTTGACCCCCCCCTAAGATCTCGGCCGTTTCACCGCCGATCGCCGCGAAAATCTGCATGCATGTCAAGTGAAGTGTATAGAATACTACGGTAATTTCAAATTTTTGAAAAATTCACTCATTTGCATATTTATGGTAATTTATGCAAATAAGGTCATAAAATTCACATTTCGGCCCATAAATCATAGATTATTCATATTTAAGTATTCTTTTTCACTACATATATTTATTAGACCATTTGGAATAATAATACAACACAAAAAATTGGAAGAGCCAGGTTATTCCTTATGTTATCTCTTGTTTTTATAATTTCTTATGTATTTCATTGTTTTTTTAACTTATGTATTTTATTGTTTTTGTTGTTTTATTTCATTTATAACTACAATTCAACTATTTTGACCCCAAAACAAACATCTAAACTTTAAACAAGACTAAATAACCAATGTTTTATCTATTTTTAGGAAAAATGACTTTTACATATGTTTTGTACACAAATCACGAAAATGAGCGATTTTCGGGCTGACATGCAAAGACAAAAGGTCACGCGACCTTGTAACCGTAGGTCCGATTTTCAAAAAAATTGTTTTAAAAGATGCGTAACACTCGAAAGTAAAAAGTCATGAGAGGAAAATTTTATATCTGCCGCGGTTTCGGAGTAGTCGCGAAATTTCTACAGGGGGGGGTCAAATTGACCCCCCCCCCAGTTAACGTAGGGTTAAAGGCCCACTGCACTACTTATAGCTACTTGCGCCCTCTATAACAGACAATGCAGAATCTCTGACTGTTGGTCCCCCATGATCCTCTTTTTCTTATGTTATTTGACAGCTGATTTGATGAGATAGCCACCTGTCCAGTGACCTTGCAGTGTGGTCTAATCCCTCCTCTAAACAAGTACTGATGGGCTTTAATAAAAGCCCACCTGCTTAATCTCAAGTTTGGTATGAGGCTTTAAACTCATATCATTATCTAAGTTTTCTGTTTCATCATGAACATCATTTTATACTTACACTCTCAATTCTTCTTTGAACAATTCCAAGTTACTCTTCTTCTGTTTTTCTCTTTCCTTCTCTTTTTTCAACTTAGCTTTCTGTAAGAGAAGAGGGATTAATATAAAGAAATATGAAATATTTTGAATGAAGTGATATGATTTAATCTACACTTCATCTATGCATTAAAACAATTTTAACATGAGATGTGCGACATCAATCGCATTGCAAAACACAGAGAAAAGTGCATAATATAGTGCTGATGTAATAGATTGGTGGTAATTGTAATCCTTCTATTTTAAGCACATGGAATACATGGTTCAGTTCTTACAGTTATATGTTACAAGTTCATGGCTCTCTTGACAGCACCCATCACCTGCCCAATATCCCACTGCAGTTCAAATCAATCTTACCTGAGATATTGCATGACTTTCTGCTCTCGCTCTCTGTGCTTCCTCTATTGCCCTCTGTTGTTTAGCGTACACAGATTCAGCAATCTTTGAAGTGGGTTTGTAGAGCTTACCAGTCTTACCATCAGACCTTTCAACTGTAGATGTATAAGAATATGATAATTATAATTAATACTATTAACAATATCAACATTAACTACATCTCAAAAATTAAAATTATGGGTATCATATAAAGCTCCTACTCGATGAAAGTATAAAACAAGGAACACAATTTTTCAAATAGACTGATTTTAATGCATAAAATAATTCAAAAATATCTAGCAATTTAGCAATATCAAACTATATCCATTTCCAATATGAAGTAATTTAATTTGGGAAATAATTAAAATGAAATGTGGGCATGTCTCATAGCCATCACTCAACCACAGAGGGCAGTGTGAGGTTTGAGCGTAATGAAACGTACCCTTTACTCTAGCACATCATACAAGCCCCCTACCTATGGTGTCAATCAGGTAGTGGGTCTGCTCTAACAGTGCCATGCAATTTATAGAAATAAGAACATCATGTACACTACAAGTAGTCATAAGTTTCCACCAACCTTAGGATTCATTAGAGGGTCTATTAAAACAATGCTAGGCAATTGTGAATATAAGAAACAATTCATGAAAATACATGTAGTTGAAATTTCAACTCTGCTTAAATGAAGTAGGTAAGTGTTTGTCTACTCCTATGGACCCCGATAGAAGGTCAAAGTTGAAAAGTCTACAGGATGCATAACTGCCAACCTTTCACAACAAGAAAATAATAGGAATCTCTCAAGGCAAAATTAGGATACAGTCCATTTGTATGCTTTTTACACAGAATATTTCAGAATGAATGAACACTTACCTCTCGTTTCTGGGTCAATTGTATTTCCTCTGACGAAAGCCTTGGATGTTGATGGCGTTCCTTCAAATGAAGCAACAAACTCCTCAAAAATTTTGGCAGTTTCTTTCTCTTGTTCCTAGGCAATAGAAAGATGAAAAGAAAAAATACAGAGAAAAATTAAAGTGTACTTTTATTGATAGAAGTAAAAAGAAACCTGATATGAAAACCTAAAAAAGTAGAAGCTCTCCTTGAACCACACCCTGTCAATGTTAGTCCTACATGTATATTTAAAACAGGAGTTTAATAAATGCTCTCTGGAACTTCGAGATTCATTTGAATTATTTGATATATATTTAAAAACCTATCAAAATAACTAATTTTTTGACACGCAATACAGAAAAACTCTATGGCGGCATGAAGTTGTCTCCAACAAAATTACAAAAAACAAATAACTGCCTCCCCCCCCCCCAAAAAAAAATAAATAAATAAAAATCAAATCACAATAATGAGAGAAGCATGATAAATCATTGCCTTGCAAATTTGTCTTTCATTCATCAGAATTTAAACGATTTATTACTCTGTTATTCTTCAATGGCTTTTCATAAAATGGATGCAATCTGTTTCTATTATTTGTCTGCTTGTACACAAACCAACTTAATGTCAAGATGAATCTCAAACAAATTTTGAAGTACTGACCTTTTTCTTCAGTTCATCTTCGATTCTTTTGGACTTCTTTTTGGTCAGGTTCATCTGACCAATGCTGAAGGCCTGAAGCTTGGTCTTGGAGATATTCTACATTTGAGGAAAGGAAATGAAAGAATACAAAAAAGGTAATTTCGTTATAAAAAAGGAGAAATTCTTGTTCAAGTAGAAATCAGTGCATTATCTGTATCAATTTTAACCTAATTTCAGTAAAAAGTATTTGGTTCCAGTTTCATAATCGTTATCTTAGGGTTCGAAATTCAAGCTTTGCATACAGCAAATCTGTTGGGAATTGGGAGCTCATCAAATGGTTTTACTCATGCAAAATTTGACTTAGAAAATGTAAATAACACACATGTCTTGCATAGTTTGGTGTTTAAAAAATGATTAGAATTGGGGGGAAAATTCAACCTGCGCAACTTTGAGTTATGCAGAGTTAACCGTAGGACTAGGTCGACTCGTCATACCCTGATGCAGCCCTTGTGTAGCATGGATATGCACTTTGCTGTCCACACCATGTCTCTCATTGCTGTTGAGGATGCGTGGCGCTTGCGCAGCGTATTGTTCATTTTCCCTGATATAGCGCCACTGCAAATGTATTGTTAACATTTAGCGCCACAGTTTCTTAATTTTTAGAAAATTGCGCCATGCATATTTTTGTTGAAAAAGTGCAACCAGAGCCTTCTAAGGTGAGAGAATGTAGCGCACAATTCATCTGTTGCTCTGTGAACAATTCTGCATTTGTGTGTGTACCTGTCATTATAGTGCATCAGCAGAGCTATACTTTAAATGTGGGCATTTCTCATAGCCATCACTCCACCACAGAGGGCAGTGTGAGGTTTGAGCGTAATGAAACATACCCTTCACTCTAGCACATCATACAAGCTCCCTACCTATGGTGTCAATCAGGTAGTGGGTCTGCTCTAACAGTGCCATACAATTTGTAGAGATAAGAACATCATGATCACTACAAGTAGTCATAAGTTTCCACCAACCTTAGGATTAATCAGAGCCTTTAGAGGGTCTGTTAAAACAATGCCAAGCAAATTGTGAAGATAAAAACTAAATCATGAACATCACAAGTACATGTACTTCAAGTTTAAAGTAACCTTAAATGAAGTAAGCAAGTTTTTGTCTACTCCTGTGGACCCTCATAGAAGCTTAAAGTTGACAAGTCTACAGGAGTCATAATTGCCAACCTTTCAACAACCTTTCACAATAAAAAATTAGAAATCTCAGAGTTTTCTTCTGCTTTTAAAGAATTTTAAAACGCAAATTAATCAGAGGTGAGTCGAGTTTCATGATTAAAGGTAAAGACCACTTTTGGAAACGCCCCCTCTCAAAAAATGAGATGGAAGCTCTTATTACCAATCATGTGAAAAAATGTTTTGACTAATACATAATTTTGCCGGGAAACCGCCTACTTATTGATATATTTGGTAAATTAGTTTATCAATTGGGACCTAATAGATAATATGCATGTGTCGCGCACGTGTGCTTAGTCCCATATACATCTTTCTGTGTACAGTGCTTGTAACTTTACAAAGACTGGGCCAAATTTCTTATCATTTTGATGATTCCAGAACCTTGCAGTACACACCAATACTTATATGCTAGATGATCAACCTTTTCTGATTCCACAATGTTTCTTTCACAATGCAATCGCATGATTTTTTCTTTGAAACGTTAATTTGTTACATATTTCATATCATAGTTAAAAGGATGACAAAATCTTGCCATTCTTGACATTAACACAATTGAATTTTATTGCTAGACATGACTTGATTGATCGCTAGTTCGCTCATTCGAAAACTGCACTGTCATCGACTTGTCACTGTCAGCAGTCACTCCAGCACATAGAAATCTAGCTTACCACTAAGCCCGAGTCAAAACATTTAACAGACGGTTGAACGACCGCATTCATCAAAAGTAAAACCGTTTAGCATTTCTCGCTCCGTTTAACCCTTATTTTCGTGCAGTTTGTTACATGTGTTTTGTTTTCGTTTTTGAGACTTCATTGCCGATACGGACAACGAATTCTTGCCAATATTTAATGTTTTTAGATCTTTGTACGGGCAACGAAGTCTTGCCGACGATTATTGTTTTTAGATTTCTGTAGGAGCAACAAAGTCTTGCTGATAATTCTTGTTTTTACTTTAGATCTCCATACGGGCAACAAAGTCTTGCCGATAATTGTTGTTTTTAAATCTCTGTACTTTCACTTCGCCATGTTGAATCAATGATACAACATGGAAGAATCATCAGGTGGGTTGAAGAATCACCCCTTTTTTCCCATCGAAGACTTCTTCAAGTTATAATTTCAAGTGGCCTGCGAAATGCCCAGAGAAGTCGAGCAACCTAGTAAGCCAAAATTGTAATTAGAGTCTAGAGTCTACTCCCTTTGAAAATTTTGAGATAGGTCTAGGTCTAAACTCTAATGTCGCCCAACCCCCGCTGTTTGGATCGTTTCCGTATGTTTTGGAGTCGGAGCTTCCTTGAGGCTTGAGTTGGGTCCGGGCTAACTCCGGGAAGCTCCAACACCGGCGCCGCAGGCGTTGGAGCTTCGGGTGGTTTCCTTGGTTTCTCTTGGAGGCTAGTAAAACAGCCGATTGGGTGATATTATTGTTAAATCTGCAAAGGGAGTACTTACAATTTTTACATCATAGGGTGCACGACTCCTCAGGGCTCAACTCCAATCACTTAAATGTATAATTTGAAGAAGTCTTCGATGGGAAAAAAAGGTTAATTTGGGGTACTACACCAACAATTCTTCCATGTCGCAGCGTTGATTCAAAATAGCGATGAGAAGGTACGCATGCGCGGCAGTGGCGAAGAAAATATGAATATTCAGGCTATCGAGCGCCGATCGCTCGAAATCGCTGAATATGCACGACTCGAACAAACAGAGCCCTTCTCAACCTCGTGCATATTATACATTCAAGTGATTGGAGTTGAGCCCTGAGGAGTCGTGCACTCTATGATGTAAAAATTGTAAGTACTCCCTTTGCAGATTTAACGATAATATCACCCAATCGGCTGTTTTACTAGCCCCCAAGAGAAACCAAGGAAACCACCCGAAGCTCCGACGCCTGCGGCGCCGGTGTTGGAGCCTCCCGGAGTTAGGTCCGGGCTAACTCGGACCAGGGGACAACTCGGCCCAGCTGCAAAAACGGTCATTTTTTGTCATTTTACCCTAACTCTAACCCTAACCCTAAACCTAAACATGCAAAAAATGACCGTTTTTACAGCTGGGCCGAGTTGTCCCCTGGTCCGAGTTAGCCCGACTCCCTAGAGTTCACCCTTTGAAAAAAACTAGACGTAGACTCTAGATCTAGTCTAGACCGAATTTTCCGTCTCTTTCGTTCGTTAGCCTCTTATTGGGGTAGGGTCGGCCGGCTCTCTCTTTAGAGACGGAAACCGTCTATACACATTCCCTTCATAATGCCACGGCCATTTCAGGTCGTAGTGTTTTGCTTCCAAAATCCCCCAAAATGTCATTTTACCTCGTGTATATCAAAATGTAAATTAGGCCTAGGCTATAATACATCGGTTCCACTTACTAACTTGATTGAAATAATCCGTTTAATGGTCCCTTTTAAGGAAATTATGGGTCAAAATCGACATCCATGTTGAAAATCTTGCAAGCCGTGTTAAACTTTCGCTGCCGGAGTCATCTTAATCAATCTCATCCCTTCTAGTCTACGCCGAAGGCAAAATGATTATGAAGGAAAAACTGTGCGCCATCTACACGTTCGTAATGGCATTATCACAGTTTTTCCTTCATAATCATTTAAGTAATCAAGTAAGTAAGTGGAACCGATGTATTATAGCCTAGGCCTAATTTACATTTTGATATAGAGTAAAGGAGCCTGTTTTCGGCCACTTAAGACAAAATCCTATTTTTAGGACTCTTTACTTCCTATTTATTATCATTTCTTGTTCAAATCATGAAGCAAATATTATTATTATTTAAATAAAAAAAGAATCCCAGAAAAAAATCACGAATTGCCATGACAATATTCATTTCAATTTTCACTGTTTTGGAGCCAGTTATCGGCCGAGCGTTTCAGTTTACGGCCGCATGTACAAAGTCAATAGGAAGCGCTCGCGCGCGCCGTGCGTTTCCGCGCTGATGTACAGCACAAGCGGGCGGAGCAGGTATCCCACGCCGGAGCTCCCTGGTGCTCGCCTGGCCGAAGACAGGCACAGCGGTGATCGGAAGTTGGAATCTGAATTAGACAGAGATATCGTGTGTGCGTCGCGGTGTGCGGCTGCATTGATTTAATACATGCGATGAGATACTTTTGAGCTTGCGACCAGCACAAAATCGGGCTCTAAATCTGAAAAATACTTGAAATAAAGCTCATTTTATGGTACCCATATTTCTTACAGACACGCGTAAGATACTCGATTTTTCAGATTTGGGAAGCGGGACCGGCGATTACATCGCTAAAATATGATATTTTAGGATATATTTTCCATTGCAAATGTGGTTCTTCAGTGACACTGGCATGGTATGGTATGTGTGGGATATGTGTTATGCTATTATGCGATATATTTTAGAGTGATTTTACCTTGCATCCAACCAATCGGCCGAAAACCGGAGCTGGCCGATTACCGGCTCCTTTACTCTAGACTACACGAGGTAAAATGACATTTTGGGGGATTTTGGAGGCAAAACGCTACGACCTGAAATGGCCGTGGCGTTATCAAGGGAATGTGTATAGATCTAGACGGTTTCCGTCTCTAAACATGCTAAAGAGAGAGCCGGCCGACCCTACCCCAATAAGAGGCTAACGAACGAAAGAGACGGAAAATTCGGTCTAGATCTAGTCTAGGCTCTATGCCTAGTATTTATATGACATAGGCCTAGGTCTAGGGTCTAAATGAAGTTCTCAGTCTAGTTTTCAGCCTCCCACAATCTCAAAACATTAAGGCCATGTAAAATTGATTACATGTTGATCGTCCGGATTTTTTGAAAAAGAGGAGGAGGGTGTACCATGTTATTTGATATTTGATATTTCAAAATGGCCGCTCAAAATGGCCGCTCGGTACATTTTCCCTGACAGTCGAGGCTATTTTTTTTCAAGATGGCCGCCGACAATTTTTTTTTTTTTTAAATCAGAAATAGAGCCATTTTAGCAGTGTTTTTCATGTTTTTTTTTCTTTCAAAAAAAAAAAAATTTCAAAAAAAATTTCAAAAAAAAAATTCAAAAAAAAAAAATAACAAATAACAAATAACAAAAAATAGGAGGCGGCCCCCAAAAAGGAAGCGGGCGGGGACGATCAACATGAAATCAATTTTACATGGCCTAATACAAGTTACAACATGCACAAATAGCACCCTACAGTCTATAGACTACGGTAGGCCTACATGGTCTACAACTTACAAGTACCGTACACGCACGCGCAATCTGCAAATGCCAAATTGATCTAGATCTGCACACCTGGCGCGCGCGATTACGTTTACAACACACTCCACGCCAACTCTGCTTGTTAGGAACATTTTGCATTCGTTTAACATGTTTAAAAATATAGTATTAATTCAGCACTCTTATGAAGCATTCACAAATATATTTACATCATATCAACATAATCCTAATGATAAAAAAATGATAAATAAAATAAATAAGCTCGTTTAACCTTTGCCGTCGTCCCAGGAGCAAGCCCCGCCATGATGATACAATGACCTTTGACACATACAATACGGGAGTGCGAGCACGTGCGCGTGCACGTCGCGCGTACATACTTCCGACTGCTTAGTTTGCATGGGGCAGGTTTGGGGATAAAGTAGCGCAAAGGCTGGATTTATACATGTACGTCTACGGACAGCGCTCTTGCACAGTTTGGCGAAGCGGCGGGAGGGGGGGAGGGGGGGGGGGGGGGGGGGGGGGGGGGGGGGGGGGGGGGGGGGGGGGGGGGGGGGGGGGGGGGGGGGGGGGTAGGTGCGATGTTTAGGTTAAGTAATCATTCGCTCAGGGGGAACAAATCCTAAAAAATCTCCGACATACGGGGGGGGGGGGGGGGGGGAGCTTAATCCAGGCGCGGATCCAGGGGGGGGGGCGAGCGGGCCTTGCCCCCCCCCCCGCAAAAAAGAGAGAAAAATGGGAAAGAGGAGAGAAAGGGAAAGAAAGAAGAGGAAGAAGAAAAGAAAAGGGGAAGAAGGATTTCGGGGGGGGGGGGAGCAAATTCAAACGTGGTTTATTTCTAATTCCATAATGGTGGATTATATAATAATGCTGAAATGACATAATTTCCGAGATTTTTCCTCACTTTAGAGAAAATTATAATTTTTTTTTATGCGTTTGTTGGAAAATGACAAATTCCTACATTTATAGCCAGGCAAGAAATATGATTCTTGAAATTCCTACATGTCAGGGCCCGAGGAACGGCGGGGATTGGGAGCCTCGAGCCACCCCCCCCCCCCCTCCCCACTTAAAAAAAGAAAGAGAGCAAGAAAGAAAGAATACTGAACTGCCAGTGTCAACAAATAATGAGGCATCAAAATATGCTCATCTGCTCTTAATTAAATGCCTAACACCTTTAAGCTTCCGGGGGCTCTGCCCCCTGAATTCCATCTAGGGCCCTAAGGCGGGCCCTAAGATGCTCATCTGACGGTTATTTAATGCCTGGGTAGTGAACACATTTTTTTTTTGGCCCTCGAGAATTTTAAAATTTGCAGCCCCCCCCCCCCTCCCCCTTGAGCGTCAGGGGGAGGCCCATCCCCCCAAAAGGTAAAAAATCAAGTGTTTTTACACGTTTTTTCCAAGGTTTCCCCCCCCCCCCTGGATCCGCCACTGGGGGGGGGAACTAAGTTCAGACGAGGATCATTTTCGAGAACGGTACAACGAATCGTCTTCTTTCACTAATGATTTAATGCAACGTAAAAGCTTCCGCGCTTCGCGCGGGAGGGGGAAAACTTAATTCAGACGAGGGTCATTTTCGAGAACGGTATAACAAATCATCTTCTTGCTCTAATAATTTAATGAAAGGTCAATGCTTCCGCGCTTCGCGCAAGAGGGAGGAGGAGGGACTGTATTAAGACAAGGCAAAGACGCGCTCATCCCGTGCAGGGCTCCAGTTTCCAGTGGGACGTGTACGGTACAACGAATCGTTTTCTTTCTCTAATGATTTAATGAAACGTAAAAGCGTCTGCGCTTTTCGCGCGGGAGGGGAAAACTGATTCAGTCGAGGATTATTTTCGAGAACGGTACAACGAATCGTCTTCTTTTCCTTATAATTTAATAAAACGTCAAAGCACCCGCGTTTCGCGGAGGAGGAAGGGAGAAACTCACCCCTCCCTGCACCCACCCCCCCCCCCCACCCCCATTACGTCACTGCTGGTCACCATTACGTACCAATATTTGGCTCACATACTTTCAAAATCTTCATCTCTTTACTCTAAATGCAAGCGCAACAAATATATAAAATAGAAAAGAAAGAAAGAAAGAAAGAAAGAAAGAAAGAGAGAAGATGCCACTCAATTATCCTGACCCGCCCCGGCATGCAGGTATATAGACCCCCGGCCAAAGTACCAGCGAGCCTTAACCCGTCCCCGCCCCCCCAATAACCATATCAATAATAATAATAATAACACGATGTTTATAAAGCGTTTTCCAGTTCCACCGACTATACGCGCAATAAATGCAATGATCAACATGATTGCATATCGTGATAGAAAAATGAGAGACTCGACCCCGTCGCGTCACTAATTATTTAGGGGCGTATTTTTTTAGGAAAACTCCGATAAAATGATCTTTTCACCAAGCAAGCTCTGCAAGGGACATTACAATTTCACAATTTAAGCCTACCGATCGAAACAGCTTGATATTTAAACACATAAGGAACTTTTAATACGGAGAGGAAGTGCACAACAGGACCCACCGCTCCCCAGGCGCGGATCGAGAATTTCTTAAGGGGGGGGGGGGGGGGGGGGGTCGAGGCCAAAATTTTAAATCAAATTGAATTTAGTGTGCTAAAATTTGAAAATCATGCCGGCCGATATTTCGCTCAGTGGGGGATGGGGGGGGGGGGGGGGGGTAGTGAGCGCTATTTAAAAATTGTTTTTGCCCCCGGAATAACTTAACACCCCCCCCCCTTGAGCAAAAAAGAAGGGTAAATATCTGGTCTCAATTTTTTTTGGCCAATGGGGGGGGGGGGGGGGGGAGCAAGGATCCGCACCTGGTTAGACCCATTTTTTTAATTTTTTTTTTTATCTCACTCCATATTTATTGATATTCTTTTAATTGATCGAAAGGGGACCCCCCCCCCCCTTTCCCCCACCCCACCTCCTCAACAAAGGAGAAAATAACATTTGATACTCTTTCTTAAACAAGCGACTCTCTGAATTAGTTAGAATACGTCTTTTGCTACATCTACAACAATAAGTATCAATATAAAATAATACATGAAGATTACCAGTGTGACACATTAATCTAGTGGATAGGCAAACGCCAGGCAACTGGAAGGTATCGGGTTCGACTCCCAGTTAGTGCTTTTTTTTTAAATTTTATAAATCTTTAAAAAGGAAAAACTGATGTTAAACCCATTTTTGTCTCACTCAAAGTTTGGTGTGATAAAATAATTATTGTTGATGTTGTTGATGTATGGGAAAGGGTTCCAAATCACAATATGTCAATGGATTCCTCAAAAAAACTTGAAAAAAGGGTCTATGGTGAGGGGGAGCAGCTGAGTGTAGGAAAAAACTGTAAGGGAGTCCCTTTGGGGGGTCTTTTTTTTGGGTGGGGAGATGAACACGTCCCACTGGAAACTGGAGCTGGAGCTGTCGGTCGTCAGCGTAGCCTGCGGCCGGTAGCGTTAGCCCCAAAGTCATGTCCAATTTTTAAACTACATTCAAGAGTCCCTTATTGCCAGGTTAAACAAGTTTTTTACATTTTCAGTACTACTTTCTTCCTTTTATTCACTCTGTACACGCCCATGCTATCCTTTTCCAGTCTGTAAACAACTTTACAACATGAATTCAATGATGGGCAAGGTTTTACTCCCATATGAAAGCGCCCAAACTTCGCGAGGTGAAACAAAGGGTCTTTCAAATTCAAGTCTATTCAAGCCCAATATGGGCTAACTGGCCTGCATGTTGTTGTTGTTGCGAATAATGGCGTTTCCATCGTCATTCGATGATTTCCGCCAGGCAATGTGAGAGGGCGTAGTTACTGGTCCTCTCTTAATACTTTTACTGTTGGATCGACGATAGCCTAGTGGCGTTGTGTTGTGCAATTAACAATGTCAGTAAATTGTTAGTAGTTATTTTCTGTATTGTTATTCGGCTTGTTATTTTAAAGAATTCATTAGGAAAGAAAGGATGAAGTGGTTGAATATTAGTTGCGATCAGTTCATTACGTTAGGACGTTAGTTTAAAACCTCTCTCCGTATAATGAAGCAATTTGTACAATTTATACAATGAAGCAATTTATACCGAGGATAGTACCACTACCACTGTCACTAATACTAATAGATAATGTAGCAAAACGTAACTAATACTCGATTAATACTTAATTAATACGCAATAGGTACAATGAACTGAGCATCACAGTTCATTGTACCTTCCACTGCCTTTTAAAAAAGCTACCACCTTTCCTATGTATTCCTCATTTCCTAGTAATTGACCTAGATTTGGATTTTGAGTTTTTAGTGCTCTATACATTCTCCTTCGTTGCATACCCGAGCAGAATCATTTTATGCTCAACAAAGACACACAGCCTTGGGTAAAGAGGTCCATTATTATTTAGGTAGTTGTTTTAATTGACAATGTGCTATTAGATATCAGGTAATTGGATGCTCTGTTTCAAATACAGTCGAGACTGCCGAGCAATGAATTATCTCCTGCTTCTTGTCCTAAAACCATATCTTACTGTGTTTTTTTAAACGGTATCATTTGAATTTCCATTTCCCAGCTTTATTTTCAACTGTCCCGAAATCGCTTTCCTTTCTTTAAATGAGACTACAGCCCCAGTGCATGACACACGCCCTTAAAACTAAAACAACAACAACAACAAGTCCTCCATGCAGACAAGGAGAAAGAGCCTTTACATAGACTACGCCATTTGATATGAATATTCATTTGTTGTATTTAGATACCATTACGTCATCTTTCATACGCCTCCCCGGCATGCATTTCGAGCAACTTGTAGCCTACTTTCAGGGGCGTCGCCAAAGGGGGGTGTGGGGGGGGGGGTGCGACACCCCCCCCCCACCTGTCAGGATATTGTCGGTAAAATTGCGCTGCCGTCGGGAAAAAGAGAAAAGGGGGAGGGAAAAAAAGAGAGGGAAAAAAAGAGAGGGAAAAAAAGAGAGGGATAAAAAGAGAGGGGAAGGGAAAGAAAAGAAAAAAAGAAAAGGAAAAGAAAAGAAAGAAAGGAAAAGAAAGGAAAGAAAGGAAAAGAAAGGAAAGAAAAGAGAAGAAAGAAAAAGAAAAAGAAAAAGAGGGGGGAGAGGAAAGAAAGGAAAAGAAAGAAAAGAAAGAAAAGGAAAAAAAAAGAAAAAAGAGTGAAAGGGAAACAAAAGAAACGGGGGATGAAAGAGAGGAGAGAGAGTCGAGAACAGTACGACGAATCGTCTTCTTTATTTAAGGAAACGTCAAAGCTTCCGCGCTTCGCTCGAGAGGGGGAAACTGAATTCAGACAAAATTAATAGGGCTCATTTAGAGTCGAAAACGGTACAACGAATCGTCTTCTTTCTCTAATAATTTGAGGAAACATCAAAGCTTTCGCGCTTCGCGCGAGAGGGGTAAAC